ATTTATTTTTATAACTTCAGCGAAGGTTAAGAATTTCATTCGAATTTATTTTCGTTGATACTTAACATTCAGAATTAATTTTGTTCGTTCTTCGGTGGAAAGCACTGTTACCCGTATATGGGTGACGTGGCGATCAACGTGTTAATTGAACACTCGTTGTCGATAGTCATAAAATCCTTTCATTTTGCGAAAATAATGAATCGATAGTTTACACGTTAATCGTGGAAATTTATACCATTGGTCAAGAAAGTGAACAAATTATTATTTGGAAATATTTGCAAATTAGGAAGGTTAGAGAAGGAAGATGCTCCCCTATCGAGGAGGATCTTTCCGGTAACATAATACCGAAGGACCTCGTGGTTGGTCGCGCACACAATCATCCTCCTCCCGTTTCCTTACGTCATCTGCACCGTGCCCCCTGGCTTTTAGCCTTTGAATAATATTTGAATTGCGTAATGCTCCTCTAAAAGGGGGTTCGTTACCGCATAAGGGGCAGATGATCCCGTGTGATCAACGGATTAGTGTCTTTCGAGCGTGCGATTTTATCGAGAGGATTAAGGAAGCTGCAATCCAGCGGTTAGTGTTAATTAATGCGATATACTACGCGTAAATAGCTAATCAAAATGAAAACTGTTAAATTCCATTTATATGTTGGTGCCTACACGTCCAAAAACGAAAATTTACACCTTCGTAAACGAGCCAATGTTTAAACAAATCTAGAGGACGGCGAACAGCTTATAATTTTAAGTAAGATATTATAATATTATCCGAACGACGCGACGGTATGTAAACAAATTAATTCGAATTCTTCGTTTACCAAGCGCATCCTCGCAAGAACCGGATCGAGAACCGGAACTCTAACTCGCGCTCAGGCTATCCTTAATATTTTCATACGCCTCGATCTCGATTCTTTCCTCTTCTGTTTCCAACCCTTCTTCGATTCGATCTCTACTTTTCCTTTTATTTCCAGCGAGATTCTCGCGGCTTGACGCGATCGTCGAAGCGGCGCAAAAGGAATGCGCAAAACAGAATCCGTTGAACGTTCCCGTAGCCAGAGATGAGCAAAATTCTTATCCAGATAAAAATCTCAAATAACGAAGACGGGACAGACGACTGCTTATTCGTTACTGATTGACGAACACCAACGATTCGCGTTATAGAATCGTGCGACTAATATTTGATTCGGATGTTACCGATTATTTTCTATCGTTAGTTTGCAGTGGTACTTCATTTATCATAATTAACGTCATCGTCGAATGACAAATTATGTTCGCATTGTGCGCTCGATTAATAAATCAAAATATCTAAAACACGAATTGTATGATGCGTTCCACAATGAAGAAGTAAATTGCTGTTGTCGCGCGGTAGATATTTTGAAACTCGGTCGCGAACAAAGTCTTGGTCGTTTGGTCGATATTCGTCTCACAAAATGTGGACATCGATGTTTATTTTAGTGATCGGCAATATTCGCAAAAACAACATCGAAACTTGAGATAGCCGGCTTTTTGGCTCGGGACGGCAGTGTATCGGAACGGAAACTCTTTGAAACCATGGTCGGCTTTCAGAGTGAGTTGTAAAAATTGAAAATTGTTCACGCGGTACAATTTAACGATGGCCGTCAACGTAATCTACCAGCTTTTCCCCTCCATCGCCCCTCTCCCTCCACCGTTTCAGCCGTTTTCACTCGCAGGCGCCGCGTAAAATAATAATATTAAGCCAGGTGAGATTTAATCAGGGGCCTTTGAACGCAGCCAGACTGGCATGCATGCTTCGAAATCGCGGCTAGGTGTTACCTGTGTTAACCCGCGCGTGCATTCGCCCACAGCCAACGATTGCTCGTGTCGGTACAAGTGTGCGAGAACTACATTCATGTTTGACGACGAACTTAGAAGGGGATTCCCATTAGGAAGGCAACTATTTATGTAATTATTAGACATTCTCAACGATAGGAGTAAGGAATACAAACGTACGTTTTTCAAGTTGGCAAAACTACTTATTATAACCAATGACCACAGCAGCGAGGAAAGAGCACACGCCCCTTGAAAAATAATTAACATTGTCGAAGACCCCTTTAACTCCGCGCTATCAGGGTCTTTAATCCATCGCAATTTGTCTATTCCTATATTCTGTCACCTCTCACCCTTTCCCTCGACGCGTCGTCCTGTTCTCATTTGCTTCTTATGTCCTTCAAGTTAGATAGGATTGCCATTCGAAGGAATATCTCGCGAATCGTCGGTGACATTTGCTGGGGCAGAATATTATTTAAATGAACGCGACCATGCGGTATACGGATCGATGAGAGCTGTTAAGAATTTCAATGAATGTTGTCGCGGTAGAAATTAATCGATTGTGATTCGCTCATTCCGCTCGAGTAAGCGTTTCCACGATCAACCGACGTCAAGATTTGTCTTGCGAAAATGAAATCGACCGTACAAGCTAATTACATTGTAAAAGAACAGTTAACGACGTGTATCGCGCGATTTTTATCGATTACTCAGTGGCGAAACAGTTACGAGATACGCGTTACAAGACTTCTGTTTCTGTTTCGAAAAATTACAGTGTAAAATTACCCTGTCTGCACCACAAACACGTCGCAAGCAACCAATATATCGAGATATTGTTTCCTCTCATCCGAATATTCGTTTATTCGTTTAAAAATAAGACTTCACGGAGCCAATGAAGTCTTATTGAATTTTACTTCGTTGCGTTTATTTTCAAACAAAGTAATATCTGAAAAAACGCTATCCTCGAAGTCCCAAGGAAAGTTCCACCAACCAACGCTAATGACTCTCGAATACGGAGAGGTTACGTTGGCTGGTGAGTTCCAACAGCGTCGTATAGAAAATCAACGGTAGCGCGTTCTGTTCTTCCGTTAAGGTGCTAAATTGATGAATGAGTCGTGAAAACGGAAAACATTTCATTGTATCGCGGCAGCCGTGGGCTAATAGAACTTGTCCAACTTGATTATTCGGGCTTGAAGATGCGTGAGCTAATGGCAAAGGGCAAAGTTCGGGACGCGTTGTTTAAGTGACTGATGTTTCCGGATAATTCGAAAAAAATCCGTGAGATACGTAACGAACGGACGACTCCGCGCCTGCGTTTGTTGGGTTGTGCGAGAAAACTTCGCGAATTAAAATGTAAAAAAAAAATAATTCTAGAAGGAGCAAGCGCACGAAACGATACGGGAAAACATCGTATAAAAAAGATGTGGCTCTAAGGCGGTGCCTTGACAGTTTCGTCCACCCTCTGCCATTAAGTAAATTGACTTCCACATACCGCCGGACTAAATAACAATCTAATTTCCATAATGCGTAAACGACGCCACCTTGTTTCATCGGAACGCATCGCTCTTTCTACCCTGGCTAACTGCATCGTCTTCTCATGAAGTTCTACGATAACGAAGACGCGTAAACAAGTCTTCAGAAATATCATACGCTCGGGTGTATCTAATCCCTCCTTATTAATCCTCTATATGAATTTTTCAAACGTAAGTAGTGTTCTTTGAATAAGATACTCCGACGTTTCGCCAACATTGCAAGTGGACTCTTCAAGTGACACACTTATATTTCTCAGCTCTTCATACACGGTCTGTCTAAAAAGAAACCGAACTTTTGCTATTAAAAGAAATAAGTACAAGTAAAGTTTTTACACGCACGTTTATTTACTCAAAATAATCTTTCTCTGCGTCAATACACCGTGTAGACCGTGTAATTAACATTTCGAAGGACCTTTGCAGCTCCTGTTTTGTTAGCCCGTTTAGTATGGCGGTTACAGCGGCCTGAATCTCCGAAATGTTGCTATAATGTGTCCCTTTCATTAGAATTTTCAATTTTAGCAAAAGAAAATAATCGCAGGGAGACAGATCAGGCGAGTAGGGTAAATGAGCCAAGGTAACAATGCCAATTCCGATGAAAAGGACACATTATAGCAATATTTTGGAGATTCAAATCACTGTAACCGCCGTACTAAACGGGCTACCAAAACAGGAGCTGCAAAGGTCCTTCGAAATGTTAATTACGCGGTCTACGTATCCCCTACGTATTGACGCAGAGAAAGATTATTTTGAGTAAATAAACGTGCGTGTAAAAACTTTACTTGTACTTCTTTCTTTTAATAGCAAAAGTTCGGTTTCTTTTTAGACAGACCGTGTATATTTATGAATTAATCAATGCTCTGTGTTACTTTACACGAAACAACGAGGAGGATGATTCACTCGTTTGACGAGATCCGCCATGATAGTTGGCCACTGTACGACGTACAGTTGCCAACACGTATGGAATTCGTAAAACGCGCAATCAGGTACCGATTAAAAAATATCTTTGGAACTAACAACCTCGAAATGTCTGCACGCTCTTGTGACTACAGATTGGAAAACGGCAATGCGAAAGTTTCGATTACACAATGTCTTCGGAGTGACCAATACAGTCGGTCGATAAATATGGGCAAAGTAAAACGACGTAACAATGTTCCCTTGACATTCGGCAACAGCTGACGCAATTTGATCCAGATTTAGGGCTTAACCCTATCGGCTATCGGTCCACCACAGTTGGACAGGTTCGCTCCTCAGGATAGTGGCCAGCTGTATTGAACAACAAACGGCTGCCCGTCGAAGGACTAGAGTTAAGCTTAATTCAGCGTATATTGCCTTTAACCTCTACGATGGACACGTTGGGCACGTACGTCGGGAATTAACGTTTAGAACCAAACTGCGAAGGGACATAAGCCAAATGTATCCCCTTACGTGTCGCGAGTATTAGTGATGACCGAATTGTTAACCTTCCAAAGCTTTAAATAGTTCTATACTGTGTCAGAACATCCTTGCATTTATCGTTCGCTAAACATTCGTTCGGACGTAGCCTTTGCACGACCATTTTGTAATTTCCATTTTGTCGGTAAGGAGCACGGAATACAGACCGCAAAGTAGGAAATGTCATGCGAATAATATTAACCGCGATGTTGTTATTAAGACAGTAATAAATATTAAAACGTAGATTATTCACCAGTAAAGGAAGACTTGAAATCTGTTGCAGCAGGAAAGACGAATTCAAGCGTGGGCGAGTTCGGCGGCAGCACGATCAGGGGAGCCAGCGTATCCACGTACTCCAGTTCCACGAACGGTCCTGTAAACTGCCTGACCGGCGGTCCATTGGCCGGTATCGCAGGTGGCTTCAACAACACTGGTCGTACGAACTTCACGAACAAGCAGCTCACGGAACTCGAGAAAGAGTTCCACTTTAACAAGTACCTGACCAGAGCAAGACGCATCGAGATCGCCTCGGCGCTGCAATTAAATGAGACGCAAGTAAAGATTTGGTTCCAGAACAGAAGAATGAAGCAGAAGAAAAGGATGAAGGAGGGTCTGATACCGACCGAGAACGCAACCGTAGCACCGATTGGTGGCGCTAGGAGTAGCAGTAATTCCCCGACCAGTTCCTCGAGCCACGAAACCGGTGGTCTCGGTTTATCTAATTTTACAAGCGACAATAGCCGAGAATCGCCACCCTCGTCTTCGAAAGATTGACGCGATCTTTGCTGCAGCAACGAACGAATTTATGGTCTACGTCTTAGCGACGATTGGTGAAAACCGAAAGAAAACCGAGAACTTCTTTTAAATTTCCCGCGACTCGAATGGTAATTTAAAGAAATTCCTCTGCTGCAGCAAGAAACGATGATCGTTATCCAGATATAATACGTGAAAAATCAATTGCAACAAAACGAAATAAAGTATGGGTAAATTGTCCTTGTAATAATATATTACACCACTTCCCGATGAAATTGCAAATTAACTATCAAAATTAATCGAATATAGAATAGAAATTGAACGACATATACATATACCAATTGTACGAACTATTTATTTCGTTTTTAATTTGTATATGCCTCGAAGGCAATATTAGTAGAACCGATCTGCGAAATTAATTCTTGAAATGATCCATAAAGGTTACCATGTACCTCAGTTTGTGTAAATGGTATAACAATATTTATATATATAATTATAAATTTCCAATGATCGAATGCAGTACATGTATCCTGTAAAAAACACTGTGAAAATACTACTTTAGATGCATATCAGTTGCATCTAAAGGCTTATCTTCTTTTTGGTGAGGACAATTATTGTTTCATGTTATCATCTGTATTTATACTTTATTCTGCAAGTAATTTGTATCCTGTACCTTTAAAATTAAAGTGCATTTAAAGCAAGGTGGGATATAAACAAAATATTGAGATAATTCAAGAACTCTAAATTGCTACTAATATCCTTTGTAAATTTTGTATTTTTAAAGAAGTAATTAGGTACTGACAAAAGTATTTAAAAACTCATGTTACTATAATATAACTTGTATCGTTATGCTAATCTAGTATATAGTTATATCCATATCATAATGATGGCATGATAACAATAGTTGTGCTCCCAATTTGAGTATGTTCTGTATGTATGTGTATATAAAATCTAATACAAGTCTTGCGTCAATGACATATACATCATTATACATCAATGCATCAGAAAATTAAAAATAGACAAGCCAGATGGTATGTTGCTTTTATAGTTAATCGTACAAGATGGGAATGCATAAACTGTACTGTATAATGAACTAGTCTTTGAATGGCAAGATTAGTATTGATTCTATTTAACTAAACTTGACCACTCGAAAGTTTATAAATTAATATAGTCATATAGTTGTATGGATTATATTGTAATCCACTAAAAAATTCTGTACCTAAATAAATTCACACATGATGAATTGTGATTAATCTGTAGTGTTACGTAGAATTCTATAGGAAGAATAAAGTATTATTATATTACTCTATGAGAAAAACCTATGAAATTCTCTAAAACTACCCTGAGTAAAATACTTTTATTCAACCTATGCTCGTATCGCATCTATACAAAACAATTAATTTCCAAAATCATTTAAATTGTAAGCCGCCCTTACCTCCTATCTTGGAAAACGTTAGAATAAACGTGACCTACTTAATTTTCGATAGTTAAATCTCAGATAAAATTTGCCTGAGTCACGTCACGCTACAAATAAATCCTAAACAATATCAAAAAACGTAGGTACCTTTAATTATTTCTGAAATACTTTGGAATATCTATTCTATTCGTCTCAGACACATTCATTACTTGGCACTTCTGAACTTCTGACGAAGAATTTAAAATCTATCAGGCTGACCAATCTTCTAAACACATACCTCGAATCAGAATAGCCACTACACTCTGCACCGAATCTAACGAAGTTGGTGACGCTGCATCTTCATACTATAAACACAACTTTCAGGTTATGTGCAGAGTGTTGTGCGAAATGAATGGTCGGTGTCACAAACCATTTGATTCCGACATGTGACGGCGAATCAAGTTGTTATTATTTACTGTAATTTATACGTCTGCTACTCGTTAAAAAAACTGACGAATCAAGCAGTTCTTTGAGTGAAAAAATAAAAATATAGTTCACGAAAAACACTTGTTTACTTCTACATCGTTGAAAACGTAATTAGCACTTTATGAAATTCGTAAACAAATCATCGAAGAATGGACGACCAAGCTAGCTTAAAAATTACTGCCAATGAATTTCTTGCTTTTCAAAGAGAATTGAAACACGAAAAGGAACTTCTACTAAAAATACTATCAAAGATAGACAATCAAGTACACAGGCTGCAGGTAAATATTCTTTTTATATGTCACTCTTTTCAAAGGAAAGTAGTACTTATTGTTATAAAACTTCTCAGGTAGAACAGCTTCACTTACTGGGATTAATGAACAAGTCATTGAAAGATTCCGAGGAAAGATCACCATCTCACGAATCTGTAGAAGATATACAAGAACAAGATCCCACAAATAAATCCTTGGACTTGTCTATAGCTTCAGCTTTCAAATATTTTCAAGAAGAAGACGAGGAAGAAGATGTTTAAAAAAAATTCAATGAATCATACATTTGTACATATTATCAGTGATAACCTACTTAATTCTATTTTGTTCAAGCTTATCACTTCACACAAGAATGAAATCTAAACTTAATACACTGTTGATTTATTTTACCAATATATATTATATTAATATATCATTATTATATTTATTCTAGCTGTCATAGTTGTCTTTTAACAGTTCAATAAAAATACGAAAAGAAACAGTGTTGAATAAAAAACAAACTATTATTATTTCTTAAATCAAAGGATTCAATTGTCTGTACAAATTTGACGTATTAGGAATAACATAGCTTCAACTACGATCGTTTCAAAGAAACTGAAACGTTTGTACTTAATTAGTCGGGTGTCATTTGAAATGGGTCTAAAATATTTATACATGCTCTACGACGGATAGCCTTGCGATGACGACCCAAGATGTGATGGATCATCCGTGAAAGACGGAGGTTTGAATTGTTCTGCAGACATACGTGTGAAAAATATTCCTACACCCTCTATTAAGGCCAATAATACTCCACCGATAACCGCGCTACCAGCCATTGCTGGTAAACCGTTTCTTGCAGACAGTATGCCACCAGTTGCTGCTCCACTGATAATAGAATTCCAAGGATCTTCCTTTTTTCTAAGATGAACCAATGTGCAGTCTATCGTGGAAAACATACCACCCCACACTGCAAAATTTCCGGCGATAATCGGTGACCGTTGTTTAATGGCCATTAGACTTCCAAGAAATCGTTTACTCATTCCACTAGGTGCATTGCGAAAGCCTTTAATACTTTGAAACAGGGTACCACCTATAGCACCCATCATGAATGCACCACCACAGTCATCTACTATACGCCATGGGCATGGTTCTCTCGAGTATTCTTCCATTCCTCAATTGATTTCCTATGCAAAAAAACATTTGAATTTAATAGAATAAGTAAACTTAACAAAACAGATTCTCAAATTTATTAGAGAATCATTGAATTTTGTTGTTTGGGACCTGTCCCAATTACCTGATGCCCTAAATAACCGAAATCTACTGTATTTAAAAGTAACCTTTAACACTAACACTTTTAAAGTTTGAGATAAAAGTATTGTCATTTCATCTTTACTATCGCGTTTAATTTTATTCCACGTGTGTATTATATAAAACGAATTCGTTGATAAATATTTGAAGAGATCGTAAGAAGTATGATTCGTAAAAAATAATATATAACATAAGTGAGGTTATGTGCTCAATCCTCGTGCATAATTCGTCAACCTGTGTCTAACAATTCTAAATATCGTCAAATATTCGTTACAATAACTACTCTGAACGCGTTTATATAAACATTTTTACGTACTTACCATAAAATTATTCCAAATACTTCCAAACCCAAAATACGAAATGCCGTCCACCGTCGATTACGGCACTGCGACGAGCGTAACTATGATAATGAATTTTTTTTCACTCAAACGAAATTATACACCATTACAATAAACGAAAGCGACACAAAGCAATTTAACGTGACGAATAATTTTTCATGTTTAATTTTAGCAATTTTAATGAGTGTTATAAAAAATTCATTTTCTCTTAACACTTCTGTTGATTAGAATCAAATCGATGTATATGAATAATGCTACGATTGCCAACCCGCGTTATATGATAATTTTAAGTAAAATTATAGTACATGTACGACTCGATACGATTATGTTCTATTGCATAGCAAATGTATCGACAATATTTTTAACGCCCGAGCGAATGGTTAACAAAAATTAACTTTATTAAACACTCGCTTCAAATGCGTTACGATTTTCAGTTTGTTAGCCGTTCGACTGGCGCACATCTACGATAGTTTAAAATAGAATGAGCCGTAGAACGTCCAAAAATACATCAGACTTTTGGTTAGTCCTGGATATCCAGTCGTTTTGCGTGAAAGCAAATTTCGTGTACAAAGGAAGCATCGTGTTCCAAGGAGCGATTCAATTGCTTCCTCTAACCATTCGGTAATTTTAAATTTAATACTTGGTCTTGTGCTTATTGTGGGTCGTGCAAATCGAGGTACTATCAAGTTTCGAAAAAATCGTCGATCACTGATTTTCTCAAATTTACTGTCCTTTGTAAGAGTGTTTAAACAGCGAAACGTGTTTTTTGTTCAGAAATATTACTCCGTTTAGCAGTGAAAATACCTAAGAAACAAATTCGATTTTCGTCTGTTTTAGTACGCGTGTCTCGCATAACAGTGACATTTCTCGCAGATGAAAATGTCAGACACGGAGGCGCTTAAATTGGAAGCTGATCGAGAATCGTGTGTACCTGAAGCAACGAACCCTAATCAAGCGGATAATGCGGGAAACGCACCTTCGCCCGATACCGAAAATGCAGCTGTCCCCGCAACCGAGAATCAAAATGCACCTGCACCAGCCACGGAATGTGTTGTTGCGCATAACTCGGAAAATCAAATCGTAGATGCACCTCTGAAGGAGGTGACTGCAACTGAAAGTGAAACTGTAGTCGAATCGACAAAGGGAATAGTAGACAACGTTGGTACGATTTCTGAGAGCAAATCAAACGAACAATCGGTAATTTCAACAACTACCAGATAATGTCAGACCGATATGTCGATCTACAATTGAAAGAAAAGCAACTGATCGTGATTCATGTTGAGAATAACTCTTACAAGATATATACTGTAACATTTTCGCAACACATACAGCCATGAAATCTAATATTTGGTTGATTATTCTTTCTCTGTTTTCGAATTTCAGTTTATGTATTTGGAGATTCCATTCGAAACGACTTAACAGCCATATTTTTTACAGCCACATGTTCCTGAAATTCAGCAACCGCCGTCCATAGGCGCGGGAGATACTTGCTTGGTCCTAAAGCACGACGAAATCGCTGATAATAATAAAGAGATTGATGGAACATCGATATCGATAGAAAAATCGCTCGTGGACGATGATAAAAAAGTAAGCGACAATGAACTTATGATATCGAAACTGAAACAGGAAGTCCAGGTAAGAATTGAGGATAAGGTGGGTCGAGTAACCGTAGTCAGACCTGGGAAGAAATTATTTTTATTAAATACGAGGTTTTGGAAACCTGCTCTATTGCTTCACTGCATTTCACATTAAAGTCATCCCTTTTTGAAGAGCACCTTGCGTTTTATTCAAATAATGACCAGGTCTGATGACGATATATTCAACAAGTTTAACGATTTCCATTTCGTCCGTAGAAAAGGATCGAGGAACGAGATTCATACCAAAAGAAACTGCAATGCACCGAGAAGAAGCTGGCAGCGTTACAGACGTCGTACGACGCCCTGATGAAAGGCGAGGGCAACGAAGTCCTTCTTCGTCGCATGGTGGACCAACTGAAGGGTAAACTGATACAGACCTCGTTGCAATTAGAGGATCGCATCCGCACCGTCACCACTCAGGAAAAGCAAATCAGCGCGTTGAACAGCCAAGTGGCTTCTCTGAAGGAAGTAGAGTCTCTTACCAGGAGTCTGTTACAAATTCGTAACATGGAAGTCAAGCATCTACAGGTAAACTGAGCTAGAAATCTTGGAAACACAGTTTATTTGTCTACTTATTTCTGGTTCATTTGTCAGTCTTTACAAGCAACTAAATTAATATCTCCAAACCTTAGTCTGATTCCTCTAGAACGAAGTTTAGATTACAATTTACTAACCCATCGATAATATAGGCCGAAGTCGACGACATGGAAGTTCGAATCACCGAAGAACGGGATCGATACACCACGATGATAAATAAAATGGACGCAGCGGTGAAATTGAATGCGGATCTGAAGAAGGAATACGAAACCCAGCTTTGTCTCTTCCGAGATCTTCGAGAGAAGTACGAAGAGAAGGTCACGTTGTTGTCAGAAGAGAAGCGAGCTCTTGAAAATAACGCGCAAACTGTTCCTCAATAAGTTCCATTAAACACCCTAAGTTGTGTTACTTTATAATTACATTAATTTGTATAAAATAAAAAATGTTGCTAGTGACGTGTGACTGCGCGATTTTATTTTTTTGTACCATCTATTCTATTGAAAACTAAAATTAATAACGCAAAGAATATCGTACAATGAATGACATTCTATCAGAACTATCTCTGCCGCAAATATCGTACTAATGAAAATTCTTTGCAACAGAAATCTTTTAACAAACAAAGTACACTTTGGTTGCAACATTCTTTGACGTTTTCGTTACGTGTATTTAGTACAGTAATTTATTACGAAATATTAATTTTATTGTTCTTTATTAATATATTTAAAAAACGTTATACCATTCGTTTCCGTGGTGTAGTGGTTATCACATCCGCCTAACACGCGGAAGGTCCCCGGTTCGATCCCGGGCGGAAACATATTTTTTTTTTATTTATTAAAAATAGAAAATGGAACAGTATCATTTCGTTTTTTATAAACTATGTTTGATGATTACTATGGTGTTCTCTTTACCTGAAAAAGGGATTCTATAAGTTCATAATTGAGAAGTCTGGAACGTATGAACGGATCAAAGTACAAATAATTGTATGGATAAGAATAATAACGAATTACTTGTATGTGTGAACCAGCTGACACGTTCTTTAAACATTGTCGGGGAATCCGTTAACGGAAAACGCGTGGTTATCTTTTGTTGTTTTCGTTTCGTGGTGCTTCCCGCTGGACAGAAGAACTTTCACCTTAAATAAAATTTGTTCTTGCAGTGACTCTCGATAAATCAGTGTTTCTCAATCTTGTATCGTCTGTAAACTATGTACAATTTATACTTGTACCTATCTCCTTCCCTTTTATGCTCGCTGTTAATTAATAAAGATTATAGTATATTGACTGTTTGCTTATAATATGTAATATTATACAATAAAATATACTAGATTAAAATATACATGAAATGTCTAGTTTTTTTTCTAAATAAAAGCAAATCTGTATACTCCCAGAATAGTAGAAATCCAGCAGAAATTAAATTTAACGTGCTTTCTATAAAATATTGCGTATATCAATATAGTATAATAAAATTAATATAATGTAATATCTACAGTTGAAAGTTACAGTAAAGTAACGGAAAAGATGTAACGAAAAGTATGCGTCGCTCAGAATAAGCGATGGGGAAAATCATTAGAAAAACATTCTGATCGCACATGTGTACCGCGTAGACGGTGATTCCCGGGTAAGTATCGAAAGTCCTTGAACTGCCGCGCACAACATGTTCTACAAATCGTATAAATACGTTGCAATCAAATGTATCAGACATCAGTTTCTCCTTAACTGCAGAACCATCGACATCTACCGGATAGCAATCGCTGGTGAGACAATAACAGTCACTGTATAACAATTATTTTATCTGTGAAAGTAACATTTATAAACATTACGCAATATTATTTAATCTTAGCGTGCTAAACACACATCCATCATGAAGAAGTTTATGGTCTTGTCAGTTATGGCTGTCGTTCTTGCAACGATGGCCTTTGGGCAATCCATCGAGGGGCCACCGAAACCACTAACTTTACCTCGAGAACCAGTATGTATATGTTTATTATTAATATGTTGCGTTGAAAGAATGGTATTAAATATGAAGGATTAAAATTGTGAATTACCCTCCTAGCGTGACGCTGAACCGGAACCTGCCGCTGTTTACGTACCAGTACATTATCCTGGTGGTCCTCCACGTCCACCTCCACCGGTAAATATTTATTATAAATTATATTAAGTATTCACGTTACATTAAATAACTCCAATTACTTTCTTAGAAGGTTCGTCGGGAAGCAGACCCAGAGGCTGAACCATCCCGGCCAGTATATGTTCCTCCCCCACGACCACCTCACCCAGTACGTATATATGTAATACATACATCAACTTTATTTTAATAAATAATAACAAAATATTTAATATTAACTTTATTACTTTTCGTAGCGTCTACGTCGTGAGGCAGACCCAGAGGCTGAACCATCCCGGCCAGTATATGTTCCTCCCCCACGCCCACCTCACCCAGTGAGTATATATATAATACATACATGAAATTAATTTTAATAAATAATAACCAAATGTTTAATATTAACTCTATTGCTTTTCGTAGCGTTTACGTCGCGAGGCAGACCCTGAGGCTGAACCTAGCCGGCCAATATATGTTCCTCCCCCACGACCACCTCACCCAGTAAGTATACATACATGACACATACATGAAATTTATTTTAATAAATAATAACAAAATATTTAATTTTAACT